ATGAGTTGACTCCCTCAAGAGGGATTTTTTAATTAATTAAGCCAGGGAATAAAAATCAGATTCATCTTCACATTGAAGGCTTTTGCTGGGAACAGGGTGGTGAGCCTAAAGCCCATCAATTTGCAATCATTTCCTTCCACCTGCCTTCCAAAGAGGGCTCCTGAAGACCTCCACCAGCAGCTCCCATTACTATTTCAACTAAATGAAAATAAATGGGAGGTAAGAAACTGAGGTGAAAGAGAATTTCAGTGTTGTGACACACAAGGTACTATACTGTAGGTCAGTGGTGTTCCTTTAGCACTAGGCCAGATCTAACCCAGTCCAGAACTGCCAAAGATGAGTAAGAATTTAATACTCATTAACAGGAATACAGCTCATTTAACAAGCTGTTTGTGCAAATCAGGCATTCAGCTCCACCTGCACATTTGTAGGCATCCTGCACATCAGACCATCGTGCAGAGCTGGTCCTGAGGGGCCACATTTGCAGTGCAAAAGGGAAAGGAAGCAGGTTTATGCCCTGAAAATCCACCACAGGAAAAACAGCCAGCTCCTTTTGAGCTGAGTTTCACACAAAGTCCAGCAGCCTGGTGGCCAAGGGCTGAAGCACCTCGTGTGTTTTGTCTTTCAACACCTTTAACTTTGGAGATGGAAGAACCTGGCAAGCACAAGTTAATCAGTTGAGAGGCCACAAGAAATGGCAGCTGTGGCAGATCCCACTGTAATTAGTAGAAAACTCAAGAGCTGCTTCTCAAAGCACCCAGTTATCCATCTACTCCCTTGCTGAGACATCCCACAGTGACTACAAAACACATTTTCCCACTGGCCTGGGAGCCTGGCTCACAATTCCTTTCATTTCCTTCCCACCTCTGTGAATTACCAATGAATGCAACTTTTGCTTTTCCTCCTTCTAAGTCCAAAGGGAACTGCATTTGAAGGAGTTCTGAAGGTCTCCAAAGGAGGAGGTTTCTCTTCTCTCCTCAGCAGAAGTGAATGGATATTGGTGTTTCTGTAAGGCACTGCCCAACTAAATACCTTTGGGGTATCAATCAAAACTCTCTGCAAAGCTTCAGTCTGAAATCCTGCTGTTCTCTGGTGTCACAGGGCCAGCAGACAAGGCAGGGGGAGATGGGGGCTGCTCCCCAGCCACCCTCTCACTGCAGTAATTAACCTCAAGCAAGCACTGGCACGAAGCTCCTGCTCTTGCATGACTGCAAACATTCCTCCCCCAGAGTTTATCATAAAGCACCAACTATCCATAAACATCTCAAGGAAGGGCTGGCCTGGGTTCACCTTCATGCAAGGAAGATGTCAGGCTTTGGCAGGGATCCAGCCATTCATGTTTCTTTAAACCTTGTCAGTTCTGACTCAAACGACCTTTTTTGGGAAGGGGGGGAAAAAAAAAAAAAGAATCTTCCATCACACACCCCTTCCTCCCCCTCCACCCACTGTGGCACTTAATCACAGGGGACAATTGCCATGGTGAGTCATGGTGTCCTGTCCCTCTGCAGCAGAGGCACATTCCCATTTCCAGCTGGCCTGGAGGCTCCAGGCAGGAGAGGAAAAGAGCCTGGAGCTGAGCAGCAGTGGGGCAGGTTTAGGAGCCTCCACCTCAACATGGACCTTTGCCCTCCAAGCCAGGTCAGACAACCATTTTTTTGGATTTTGGTAAGTCCAGACTGTCCAGCAACAGCAGTGGACAATCACTGTTGGAGTGTCCTCCCAGCACACAGCACCCACAGTTCTACTTTCCAAAACCTGAGCTGTACTTCATATGGTACCATGATGCATTTTACACCTAATTCATGCAGTGGCCCAGCCATTCACCCTAAATATACTAAGCACAAGGTCATGATTAAGAGCAAGGAGAAAGATATTCCCTCTCCATACTCTTCAGCATCTCCTAAAATCCATTTAACTTTCCTCCCTGGAGATGTCTGTCATTTCTGGCACTCGGACCTGGGTCTAATATGGAACCTTCAAGTGAATTTTCCTCCTCTTGCAGCCTTCCTCTCCCACCAATTCTGAAAAGAAAAATCCCTCCTCCTCAAGGAGACAGGAACAGGCAAGGTACCAGCAGGAGCAATTCCCATAATAGCTGGACACAGCCCCTTCCCAAGCCATGGTGGGAGCCCTGATCCCCCCTGCTGATGAAGCCATTAAGATTAGGCTGCTGCTGGCACTATGACGTGAGGAGAGTGTTTAAAATCCTCACACCAGCTGGGTGGCCAGCCCAAGCCGCTCTGGAACTTATTTGCTGGCTGTGAATATTCCTCCTTCTCTTCTTCCCACAGGATTTTAACACTCCTCTGAGGAGAGCAAGCTCCCAGCCAGCAAAAAGCAAAGACCAACAGGCTGCTTAATTAACTGACCCTCTCCCAGTTGCCACAGCCTGGCCAAACACGATTCCAGCTGGTAATTAAGCACTTACTGCTGGAGAGGGACAGAGCCAGCAGGGAAGCACGACAGCAAAGAAAGGGGCTGACACCACAACCCCCTGTGCCAGCCCCTGTGTGCCCCCAGTGCCACCAGCACACTTCAGGACAAAAGCTTTCAGTGGCTGCGAGTCCCTTAAATTAAACCTTAATTGGTGCAAGAGCTCTCTAGATTGATACACAGAGCAAGGAGAGCCCTTGTTTTCCAGGCAAAAAAAAAAAAAAAAGCCCTGCTGTCAGGCATGCCTGTGAGGGTGTTGCTACCTGTGCAATTTTCACTGGTATCCAAGGAATTTGAGAAGCCTGGCTGCCAGGTACACTGGCCTGATCCCACACTTGCCCTGCTGACCACATTGGGTCCCAAGAATTTCTCTCTCTTCTATCCTTTCAGCCAGAGTCAACTTCAAAAGGAAGAAATCAGTGATTCTCTAACATTTAACATTTCTATTGCCCAGCCCATCAGAACAAAGCAGTTAAAAGCAAAGAACTCTCACTAGGAGCATAAACAGGTTATTACAGCAATTACATGCACTAAGGCCATGTATGAAGGGGAAGCCACTAAAACCAGCTGAAGATTTAGGTTTGTGCTGCTCTCAGGACCAGCTGGGTTTATGATGTATTGCAAAGGTGACAGGGAAGCAGAGGGTCTGTGAGCCCAGAGAAAATCCACACCAGGTGAAGCATGTGCCACTAACACCACACAGAATGCAAATTCTGGTACCAATCCTGCAGAAATGACAGTGCAATCCCACCTCCCTGGGTACCAAGGGCAAACAGAACCAGAAGGGAGAAGGTCAGTGTAGACCAGCTCAGTTTTAACTCAAGTCCTCCCCAGTTATTGCAGGCTCTGGCTCCCAGCACAGCAGCTCTGAATGCTGCAAGTCCCCAGGTGAGCCAAACTGAACAGCTTGCAGGCACACAGTGCAGCTGGGTTAGCTCTGGCCTAAAGCCAGAAAGTTGCCACAGAGGATGACAAAGAGGAGGAGAAGCTCCCAGGGAAAGCTGATCTTTGAAAATCCCTCTCCAGAGAAGCCACATTGCAGGCTGGCCCTTGGTCACAGGGGGAGTGAGTGCAAAGCAATCCACCCACCAGCACATCCCTGCCAGCTGGGATGTTTCTAAGAGACACAGCAGGTGCCACCTACACTGGTGAGGGCTCAGCTCCCCGTGTGCAGCCCTGAGAGGCTTTGCCCACACAGCTCTTGTGCCCTGGGCAGTAGCAGATATTTCCCTGCTGCTGGTACAGCACAGCTTCAGACAGCTGGCACTCAAGGGGAGAACAAACCTATGAAGGGTGTTTGGCAGACTCCAAACGAGCGCTACAGCAAGGTAGGGGACAGATCAGAGCCAGTCCTGGGGACTGAAATGTGTGTTTGAGGCATCTAACTGAAGGGTATCATCATCAATACAGCCTGGCTGTAAATTTGGAGCCAGACACCTTGCAAATTGCAGTGACAAATGAGTCTTTACTCTAGCAGAGAGAGTGAAAGATACATTTGTGAAGTAGTGACTTCAAAAGTTTTGGTATCCAAAAAAACCTCAAAATCCCTGCAAAGCAAAACAAACACCCAAAGGGGCCGTGACTCAGCCCCCAAAAGGCTGCTGACAACAAAGAGGTTTCCTGGAGAGGAGGTGAGCTAGCTACACCTCCAAAACTGCCCCATCCCACAGACTTCCCAACCAAACTTTGAGGCTGCAGGACTCATAGCAGAGTTTGGGGAAGCATCTCTTGGGAGGTGAGAGCCCATCCCTACCTGTTCATGAGGACCCTTCAGTAGATAGCTGCTAACAGAGCAAATGTCCCAAACCCTGAATGACAAGGGTTAAGACTGCCAGCGAGCAGAGACCTCACACATCCCTTGTCCCAAGGATTGAGGAGCTCCCCCACCCAACAGCTGGAGCAGCAGTTCCATGCCACAGAGCAGACCCACATCCCACAGCTCTCTGGGTTTGCAATGCCCTTCTGCATGCACAGCTCCAGCCAGGGCATCTTTGCTGCTGCTCTCCTCTAAGCTGAGCAAAGTCTGAGAGAACACTCCACTTCCAGAGGGACATTCTGCAGATGAACAGGAGCAGCAGAGGAGGTGGCAGAGAGGGGGCTGGTTACCATTTCTGCTATTACAATGGTGATTCCTTTGACTTGCCACCATTAGAGACCAAACATCCATTGTCACCCTTTGTCTTTTACATGAAGACCTTTAGCACAGAATTGCTGGTTTTATTTTAAAGAGTTTTAAACGAACCAGTTGAAAGCTTTAGAGAGCAACCTTGAATTTCTCAGGGATGTATTTTCTATTTTGGGGTGAGGCCTTAACTAATGTGATGAGTTTCCACAAGACTCAGCTCTTAGGGAAGATCTAAATAGCAACAACAAAGAGCACAATGTAGTTAATATTACAAACAGCCAAGTTTTCCCTTCCCTATTTTAACCAAAGCCTCCTGCCCTATCATTAAATGAGTGGATTTTGTTCCACACTTCCAGCAAGGTCCACTAAAGGACTTTAGAAGCAGAGCAGCAGTTCCTCACCAGCATGATCTACAGCACGATGAAGAAAGGATTTGTGTTACCTGTCCAAGGTCCAGGGTGACGTTGACCTGGTTGAACTCCAGCCCCCGGGAAAGAGGGGGGCTCTGCCACCAGCGCTCTGTCCCATCGATGGCATTTGTGATGGGGTGGGCTTTGTTGCTGTCTGCAGAGGAGCAGATGTCGCAGTACTGGCCCTGGAGGAAAGTACAAAAATAACATTTAACTCTGCCCAGAAAAACGTGGTACAAAGCAGTCAGGTGTCACAGCAATTCAGAAAATACAGGGTGTAAGCCTGCTAATACAAATCAAGATATTTAGATAATAGATATCAAGAAAGTTTTGTTTGCACCAGTTTAAAGTGTGGATGCAAAAAGGTACATTAAAAGGCTCAAAAACCCCACAAACACCCAGTGTAGAATTTGGGCTGCTCAGATCAGCATCCTTTCTGAATTTCAGATATGCACTGAACACTGACAAAGGATCCCAGACTCAAAGGACTGGTTACCAGAAGCAGAGGAAGGAGGATGTGAGGGTGAAGCTGCACTGCAATGGAGAGCAGGGGCTCAAACTCCATGGTCAGCAACTCCTGTGCTGAGGCTGCCACTCACACCCACCCAGCCCTGCCGAGCCCAGAGATCCTGACCTGAGCCATTCAGTCACTTCTGTGGACTCAGACTGGCAGCTCCTCTGCTCAGCTCCCTGCAATCTGTTTCTTGTCCACCTATTCATTTCACAGTATGGTTCTTTCAGCTGCATTTTCAAGCTTAGTCTCGCAGCCAAGTTTCTTTTGCTGATGATGCTGTGATGCAAGGCCAAAAAGGGACAGCCCCAGCTGTCAGCTGGCCAGGGACTGCCATCACTTCTCTGCCTCGCTTTTGTGGCCCGGGGGGTTTTGTCAGCTCCATGGACACGCTGCCAGAGAAAACAACCCTGCAACTTTAACAGCACCTCCTGAGCAGGATCAGACAAAGACCTGAGCTGTTAGGAGCAATTCTTTCTCTCTCATTAATAGACAAATAAATCTGACCCACGCTCAAAGAAACCTGCAAAGCACCCTGAAAACTGGCAAATTGTTTTGTGGAGCCACTGTTGTGTCACTTGAATTGCTGCTACAAACAGCCTGGAAGGGAGCTGTGGTACAGGCAGTTTCCTTTTAAAGGCGCAGTTATCCCCAGGCAGGAATGCTGCCCTTGCCTGTCCCAGCTGCAGCCAGTGTTAATATTACACCAGGTACAAGAAGATCTCAAGACAGGCAATCCCCTTCCTGCCCCTACAAGGGCTGAGGCAAGCCAGAGCCACCGCAGAGCATGTGGCTTTCCAGATGCTCCAAACTCTGGAGGAATCTCAGTGCAAAGGAAGCAGATTCCACTGCATTATTTCCCCACTACCACGTGCTTTGTTACTCGCATGCAATTATGCAATACAAATTATCCTGAACAAGAACACTTTTAAATTAATTCCTCCAGAGATGTGAAAATAGAGATGGGCAAGCACAAGGCCAAAGAAAAGGGGAGCTGAAACCATCCAGGTAACCCTGACATTGATACAGGGAGCCCTCAGTGTACAGAGAGGTCACGAGGCTGGTTTGGACATGCTTTGAGCCAGGAGGGAGCGCAGACCAGATAAAACTGACCCAACTCTTTCTTCAGCTCAAACCTCTAATGGGAACCGGTGCAACAGGTTGTGTGGAAATTTCTGCTGCACAGCACACAACACTGAGGCTGGGGGGGGTGGGAAAGTGAGGCGAGGTTACAAATCGGGGATAAATAACAAAAAAATAAAGTGCTTTCATACTTTAAATTCTTGCCACAGATGTAAAAACCATTTTGAACCCAAAGTTCATATTGATGGGAGACAGTCAAGCTGACTAAGAGGGGAGTAAAAATTCCTATCAGCTGCTCCACATTTATAATGCTGCTGTTGTGCCTCCCTGGGCAGCCTGCTGGGCTGGGAACACACCAACAGCTGAACCAGGTTTGCTGTTCAGACTGGGATTAGCCTCTCTGATGTACCAGTTGCTCGTTAGCTGTTTCATTAGAGCCAGACCTAAACCTGACCAGAATCATTTCCAGCTATTTGTATTTTAGAGCAACTCAGGCACATCGTGTCAGGTTCTCTACAGGGAAGTTCTGACATCAGCAAGAGGACTTTAATTAAAAAGCAATTGCGAGCAGCAGAGCCCGCAGGTTGCCAGAGCAGTAGAGGCGTGGACACTACAAAGGTACGGTGAAAGAAAGAACTTCAGCCATGCAGGGAGTTGCAGGGCAGCTCAGAGAACAGAAAACTGCCAGAGCAAACTGCAAAGAGGGAGAGATAAGGAGGAGGTTTGAATGAGGGGCAGCTTCCAGAGACCTGCAAGGCCTGATCCTGCTCAGGGCAGTGGGAACTTTGAAGTTTCCCCTGAGCATAAAGACAAGCCAGGCACCCTGCTGGCACCTCTCTCAGGGCACACGGGTGGCTTTGTCCCAATTTATCTGGCCCTGTCATGACCCAACACCAGCTCCCCTCACCTGATTTATCAGAAAGCCACAGGGAGCATGAGGCTGCTGGGGATAAGGTAAAAAGGGCAGGAAATGGGGTGTATAAAGTACTTTTTCAGACAAAGTCCCTTAGGATCAGCTGCTCACACAGAGTTAAGCAGGCGCTGTCTCACCATGTGTCTTTTCTGTGGGCAACAAAACTTGTTCCAAAACTGTGTTTTCAGCCACAGTTAAACCACTGAAATCCAACACTGTCATAGATGTAAGCACAGGAGAGACAGGTACAGAGAGATACAGCACCAATTGTCACTGAGAGCCCTGGGCTGAGCCAGATTCCTTCTGCCACACACCAGAGATGTGACACAGGATAAAGACACACCAGGATAAATGGTCACCAACACTGCAGCATGCCAGAAGAGAATGTCACTTAATTCTGAGACATTCAGGGATGGAACAGCTTCAGATTTCCTCTGTTATCAACACCTGGAAGAGTGAGAGGACCAGAGCTCTGGTCAGTGCCCACCTGCTCAGGCAAGGATAGCTCAGGGCTGCAATTCAGGCTGCAAAGCAGCGCTCTGAACTCAGGGCTGGGCTCAAGACAGGCTTCAGAGGAAGGCACAAGCAGCACTGCCTCGAAATCAATCAAATTTGTTGCATGTTCTAAAATTCTGAGGTCTATAATTGCTTAAATAACCAGTAACCTGCCTCACTGCTGCACTCGTAATCTGAATTCATCATCTGCAGTCCTGCCCCACCCTCAGGAGCAATGCACCATCCCTGCTGGGTTGGAACAGCCCCCAGGCACACGGGTGGGATGGGGAGCACCAGCACAGGGCTGTGCCTTGGCAGACTCGGCTGTCCTGGAAGACAGATAGTTACAAGCACCTCCAGTAAAGCTCACATAAAAAAAGAAACCTATGACCCCTCTTCTGCCTCATCCTCAAGACATTATCATTAAGGCAGGGCTGACCCACACTGAGGAGTGATTTTGACAAGGGAAGCAAACCTCCAAGGCAAGTCCCTTTCAGCACACCTCAGCATTGCTGTGCCTCACATCCTTCCAGACTGAGAAGCCCCCCCCCGGAGTTGGAAATGCAGCGTTCTGCCAAAAAGCCCTGAATAAAGCAAAGGAAACTCCTTGAAAAGGTTTACAGCCTTCCCACAAGCTGTGCCAAAACCACCGCAAGTGTCTTTAAGGCAGCGTTACTTCAGGAAACTTAATGATTATTGACATTTTAAGACCATCATGTTTAAAAGTCAGTGAACTCCCTTTTCTGAATTCTTCTACAATGGCAAATTAAAGCAGCATAAAACAGAGAACTGACGGAACTAATTTATTAGATGATTGTATTTATGTTTATCCTAGGTCTTTAACCAAACAAATGTCCCTTCACCACCACAGAATGTGGATGTCTCTTGGAGGGTCCCAAGTGGCATTTTTCCAAGGTTTCCTGATGAAAACTCCTTATGCCACAGCCACATCACACATGAGCAGGTGAATGAAGGAGGGAAGGGACTCTGGGCCGGTGGGACATGCAGGCAGTAAGGACATGCATGTGGAGTTCATTATTGTTGTTTCTGTCTGCTCAAATTGAACACTTCCCTCCCACCTCCCTCCTTGCTTTAGTCACCGGGTGGTGCCAAGACCCCTAAAGGGGATGAATTGGGAACTCTGACCTCTGCTCTGATGCCTCCAGTTTCCTCCCCTCCCTTTTAGGTGCTGCCTGTGGTCATGGAAAGAAGCCACTACAAAAGGAATTTTCTAAAGCTTTCAGACAGAGTGAAGCCCGCTGGCCTGGCAAATAGTGCTCACATCAAAGCCCCCCTGTGCCAGAGCTGCACAGGGGACAGGAGGGGGTCGCTGCAGAATTCCACAGCTCAGGAGCCGTGTTTGGCAGCGGGGGGATGCTGGGGCTGCCCCCAGAGCTGCTACAGCATGAAGGGTTTATTTCAGTCACCAGCATCCTTAGTGCTGCGTGTCATGCTGAGCTAGCAGGGTGGCCAGAGCACAGATGGACACGTGTGGAGTGATAAATGCATACCCACATTTGCCAGCTTTTCCAAGCAGCCTTATCCTCCCAGTTTTGCTTGGCACATCATTCACATATTTGTTTGCAAGAGCACAGAGTCGCAATTACTTCTTCACCTTTCCTTACTCCTTTGCCTCACTGGAGGCACAATTCCTACATGGAGGTCCCTGTGAGCCTCCTGCTACTGGGACTTCAGGCAAAGCTTCTTCCAGTGATGCTATTTTACAGTGCAGCCAAGTGAAACATCACTTTAAAAGCTCGGAGGAGGATACGTCAGGTTTTTGCCATCCAGTGACATCTTCAACCATTTATACTACACAGACAGCAAAATTCCATGTCACGACCACACAATAGCTGGAAAATTCCTAGTGCAGCACTAACTCAGGAGAATGTGGCCAGAATGAGAAAAATGCTTCAGAGATGATCTTGTAACAAAGCCACCGCCACCAAAAGGCCGAGAAAGGCTCTGTCCGAGAAAGTGACAGTTTTCCTTTGCTGGTCCTTGTTGCGAGCAACAGGGACAACAGCACTGCTCCACTGCAACAGGTGAGTGGCAGCACAGAAGAAAACCCCCAGAAGCAGCCCGCAGAAAACACTGAGCGGGTGCCTCCACGGCTTCATTCTGCAAAATCATTTCAAATCGGAGCTGCTCTTCCCGTCCTGGGCTGCCCTCAGGGGGGACAC